TTCTTTCCTGGATAGAAATACATGATTTCATTGTCAGAGTGTTCAATTTTGTTGCGTATGATGGCAACAGGATGGTGCAAAGGCCTGTAGCAGAATGTTTGGTAGAACTCTTTTAAATCAGAAGATAACATTGAATTACCCAATGGATTGGCCCGCAGGGTCATCCCACTTTACACCCTTGAGTTTTTGAAGGGTCTCTGAAAGCGCTTTACAGCATTACAAACTGATCTAAGTGAACTTCTGCAAAAATAATTGATGGAATCAGTGTGATATTACAATGCATGTTCGCATGGGCAAGGGTACCTCAGATTTCCTTTGAAGAACATGTTGAGGGGACCACATGTTTATGTGGATAGACCCAATGATCATCTGTAAGACAAATAGGAAAATTACAGAATGACTCAATTAAAGGTCAAGCTTCTACTCAGAAGAAAATTAAATGTTAAAGAAACTGTTCCTCATTTGTCATTTGGTCCATCCAATCACTTAGAAGTTGGCGCAAGTCAGATCTAACCATGGAACACTAAAAGCTGTCCTGAGGAGCCAATCAAGGACAGATTTTGAATCTGATGGTGTCAAATTATTCGAGAAAGATTTGTCTTTTGGTATCCAAAGTACATTTTAGGGGAAAGTCAAAATTATAAAAGATATTGAACTTTTTGTAAGTGTAACATTTTTTGAGACACACTGTATAACAGGGGTTTCATTAGCAGCAGGCAACAGGTGATTTTCACCTGTTGTTTTCACAAAATTGCCTGTTGTTTTTAAGGGCTTTTCAACTCTTCCATGTTAAATTAATGATTTCCATTAATTTGCCTGTTGTTTTAATTTATTTAGCTGTTGTGAGAAATTCAAGTGAAACCCCCGTATAATAATACTGAAAACACATTGAATTTGAAGGAACAATTTTAATTTGCGCATGTAAATTGCTTCTTTTCATATACATGTACTCATGTTTTTTCAATTTTCATGTCTCATAAGCCGTCATCGACTGGGTGCGATGTTTTTAAAAATGTTTTACATGAATTTTGTATGAAATGCTTGTGACACAGAAATAAACTATTTTATACTTAAAAATTGATATTCAAATTTATCAAACTACACTAAGCTGTATATTGGAATGAAAATACATTGATATAAAATCATTATCTGAACACATGGCTCCTGGAAAGGAGGAACAGTGTGAATATGTCTGGAGCCCTGTGTTTAGAAGATGATTGAAAATTATAATGTAAAGAAAATTATTTTGTAAAGAGAAACATTTTTTCAAGAAAATTATTATGTAAAGAAAAATTATTATGGAAAAAAGAAATAATTATTCCAATTGTTTAAACATTGTATCATTATTATAGCAAATCGAAGGCTCGTTTCTGGTGTTGCTCACCGTTTAGTATAAAAGGCGCGATCCCGGAATAATACTCAAGGGTTCACAGGTTCGAGGTCGTTGTGTCAACATTGTGGCGAAGTTGAGTCTCTCTATCTTTTACAAAACATGAAAACAAATATAGTTTAAAATATTAATTTATTCAAGAAAAGTTAAAATCCAAAAATATCATTTCAATCGGCTACTTACAGTTTTTGGTTTGTACCGAGTTCATGCAACGAGGTTCTGAGGATTTCAGGCAAAATTGCCCCTTTTATACCCAATTTTTTTTATGTGGGCCCCGCCAAAATAAGGGGTCTTATCCAATGAAATCCCCTAAAAACCCATTTATAAGAATTGGCCGGAAAGAAGTGTGAAAAATTATATGAAGATTAATTATCAACATGCCAAATTTCTGCCCACATTATTTTCTAAAAAGTTGAAAAGTTCCCATTTATTTCAGTTTTTGTTGAAACTTTTGAGACAGGTATGATTAATAACTGAATCCCAGAACCTCGGTCCAGACAATTCTCATGAACTTTTTACCTTACTCATTTAAACCATTAAGTCATTATCTCTTCAAAATACATGTTTTATAATATTTTAAACAATAAAAGTTAGCAAATTCCTTATACAATTACATTACAATGTTTTTCATATATCAAAATGTAAATTTCACCTACAAAATACTGGTTTTTGGTCAATTTGTACATCATCACCCATCAATTTATCATATCCTATTGTTTTATCAAAATGACATCATATACCAATATGTTTATGAATCTATGGAAGCTAGACAAAACATCATTAATTGGATATGATAGCTTCTTGGCTTCATTCAAAGTTACACTGTCACTCAATAGACTAGACTTCCCCCTTTCTTGGAACCACTTCTTGCCATTGGCTATGTGATTTACCTGTCAAATCTACCACCAGTCCTTACTATAAAACATGTTCAATTGAATGCAAGATATCTTTATCTAAGTTTAACTTTGGCACTCTGCAACATCCATAGAAGTTTAAGATTGTGTCATTGAGTTCAAGGTAAAATTGATAAATTACTAAATTAATAACATTTTCCATCTTAGAAGCCTAAATTAATTTTACAAAAATGAAATGGAAGTGAACAATTTATTCTTGTTTTACATTATGATGTCTTATTCGAAAGTTGTTTATATTCACATGTCAATAAATGATGTATCTTCAATGTCTACAGTAAACAAAGCTTCCAGTTCCCAAAACATTCTGCCGTTATGATGATATCAGCATAACAGAAGTATTTATCCTAAGATTTCTGTATTTGTAAGCAATTTGTAGAGTACTCAAGATTATTATGACCTAAGTTTCAAACATCTATGAACTAAAAATCAAACTTTGTCACATTCCTCCCACCTAACAAATTTGTTTGTCCTCAAACAATAAAAATGATCGTCCTCAAACAATAAAAATGATCCAAGAAAAGTGCTAACTTTTTGTTTCAGTGATTACATATTAATAGCTTAAGTTTACTTGGACATGCCTATTTACAATTTGAAACAAATTTCAATGTATTGTGTACATACTTTCAATTGTTATCTTTGTTAACAAGTTAACTAGCCCAGATTTTAATGTGGTTATAGTGGTTATAAGTTATATTATTGAGTATAATATTGAATATAATATAATATATAAAATACAGTATAATAAGTGTTCAAGTCTCATTCCAGTTCTTGGTTTGGTTCATCCTTTTTGGCTTTCTCTTGTCCAGGCATATGTCTTCTTAAGAATACATTCCCGAGACGAATGAAGAGTTTTTCGTGAATCTTTTCCTTTCTTAGCACATACAGTCCCAGAATCAGAGCAATAACAATGAAGATAACTTGGAAAATTTCTATAATCCAGTGTTGTTCAAAAGCTAAATCAATGTCAGTATCGGATTCCCATTTTCCGTCAATGATAAGGGATCGAACTACATCATCCATATCTCTGTTAAACTCACTAGCTTGGGACATGACCTCTGGCAGGGGTGGTAACTCTCTGTCCTTCAAATCCTCTCCATTCTCTTTTGGCATCATCTGTTGATACTTGATGACGAATGGTGTTCGAACACTTACATGTTCGATAAACTGGAATACATCAGCATTACAAAATGGAGCTATCAGTTCATCCCTATCATCATTCTGGATTCTACAGCCACACGGTAATGTTACCACACATAATTGACACATTTGTGCCGGTCGAGTAAAGTTTTGCATAATAGGGTCTGCTTGGAAGATGTGTTCTCAATTAAAATATAAGGTCCAAGCAATGAGAGTTTGTCACTATTAAATGTCAATGCAACATTGTACTGGCAGTAGTCCATTGGTTTATAGGGATCTCCTCGGAACAGATGTAAAGTGCAAGCATTTGCAACACTCCATTTGCAACTTGAAGAGTGATTCGAGTTGGACTTAATTCCACATATTCCTTTATCGAATCGAAAAGCTTAGCGTTTATAATATTTACAGCAGCACCAGTATCCAATAAGCAGTTTATATGTTGATTATATATAAGCACTGGTAGCTTAAATCCTCCTATCTCTTCTACGAGATATGTTTCCTCCTTGGGTTCTTCTTTGGGTCCATCAGTATAGCTAGCTGTGTCTCGACCCATAGACTCAGCTATTTCTCGTTTCCCTGTTGCTGATATGCTTTCTTTTTCAGCCAATTTTTAAACGAATAGCAATCTTGTTTGACGTGACCTTTCTTATTGCAGAAAAAACATACGCCTTGGGTTCTTGCTTCTTCATATGATAGCCTCTTTGGAGCTGGGCTACTTTTGGCGACTTCTGGGTTTGTTGGCTTATTATCTTGGACGGTACTCATTCTGTATGGTCGTCGACTTCCTGTATTACCTGCTTGGAAGGCTTCATACTCCAACCCCAGACTTACTGCATCATCGATTGTTTTGGGTTTACCTTGGTAAATCGCCCATTTCATGTCAAAGTTCAGTATTGCTTCCATAAATTGATCCAAAGCTAATTGACTCCGTACTTCATAGGTTGTCTTGGGCCACGCTTTTCTGACTGATTTCTTAAGGTCCTGTGCAAGTTCAGGGAGTTGTTTCTCTTACGATTTTTCAGCTGTGTTTTATACATTTGTAGCTGATCTTCTGGTTCAAACCTATTTTGCAAGGCTGAACAAAGTTTCTCATAGTCGCGTCTATCTGCTTCGCTTATATCAGACAATATACCCAATGCCAGTCCTCTTAAAGTGGTTGCCAGTTCAAGGGCCTTTGTTGTTTCATCCCAATTATTAGATGCTGAGACCATTTCTAAGTGGCATTTGAAGTCTTGCCACGATGTCGATCCATTTCATTCAGCCGGTTTCTTGGCCTATCGCTTCTCAATACGCTCATTTGTGTTTGGTACTTCAAGTATGGATAGCACTTCTGGCAACCATCGTTTGTCAGATCAAGGGTATTGCATCTCCTCTTTGTTCTGTTGTCTGTCACTTAAAGGATATTGATTCGCCTCCTTATTGGCGTCTGTAGTAGGAAATCGTCGTTCCTCCCTCCAAGGATATTGTTGTGCCTCCTTGTGGGCATCCCCTGTAGGTAACCGTCGTTCCTCAGGCCAAGAATATTGGTGTGCCTTCTTGGTGGCATCCCCCGTAGGTAATTATTGTTCCTCAGTCCAAGAATATTGGTGTGCCTTCTTGGTGGCATCCCCCGTAGGTAATTGTTGTTCAATGGGCCAAGAATATTGGTGTGCCTTCTTGGTGGCATCCCCCGTAGGTAATTGTTGTTCCCCGGGCCAAGAATATTGGTGTGCCTTCTTGGTGGCATCCCCCGTAGGTAATTGTGGTTCCTCAGTCCAAGAATATTGGTGTGCCTTCTTGGGGGCATCATCCGGATAAGGTTGTTCTTCAGTCCAAGAATATTGGTGTGCCTTCTTGGTGGCATCCCCCGTAGGTAATTTTAGTTCCTCAATCCAAGAATATTGGTGTGCCTTCTTGGTGGCATCTGTAGTGGAAGGCCATTCCATTTGTAGAGGATTGGACGTCGCTCCTCCTATGGCGACAGGGTAGGTTCGAAAATTGACTGCCTTCTTCTTTGGGAATGCTCCCATTTGAAGCACCTACATCGGCTTTTGTCAATGATTGCTGTGGCGAGAGTACCTCCATATCAATCTGAAGCACTTGTAAATCTTTAGGGATGGATGTTACCAAACCTTCCGACACGACTTGCTGGTGTTTCATTTTATACATCGTTGATTGGTTAACATGTCTCGCTCCCTGGTTCGAAATTCTTTGACTTCATCACATAAGCGGAAATTGACGTCGCTTTCCGTGGTGCGACACAAGTGACAGTATTTTTCTTGAAATTACTCCCGAGAAAATAGATGTATGACTCGTATAGCCTGTGACTGCCAGCTTGTAAGGTTGTGAATGCGTGTGTGGACAACTGCAGTCTTTGCTACCATCATCAAACGTTTTGGCACAGTAGTAGTTGACTTTATGGAGCCCCCAGTCTAGACTCCCTGCAATTGTCGCTAATTATATACATAGATCATTGATGGTCTTTGGCTTCTTGGTCCCCCTTCTTCTGTATTCTTGGTGTATATATATCAACATCAGAGGGTATGGGACACCCTTTAGCATTTCATCTTCCTATTTGTCAATCAAATCTTGCGCGGGAATTTGATCTCAGGTTTAGTTATGCTCAACTTCAATGATCTAATTTGACTGAGTTGTATAAGTCGACTTAAGTGAGAACTCCATTACACAATCTCGGTTTGGCCAAAAACATGAACCTTTCATGGTAATTTCCATGTGTTAATTTTTTTATGATTTTAATCAATAGATGGCAAGTTGTTATGGATTGTCTAACAAAAATTACTGGATATCCTAAGTTAACAAAAAAAAGAGTCATACTTTACATTTCCTAAATAGATGTGGCAACAGTATTTAAAGTTGCCTTGACTTCATCTTAATCTATTCAGTGTCAGAAATGTGATGTTACAAATTATGCAAGTCATTGAACAAAGCATAAATTATTTATTTACTTAATATTCAGAAAACTTAAGATACTTTTTGAATAGTTCTGGAAGTGGTATTTCTGTTATGTCTATTATCTGCACCAAATCTTGAATTTTTATGATGCAGTTGGCTTTTAGGGTTGATGGTACATCTTGAAATTCGAAAAATTCTGTGATGTTTTCGTATTTCTTTTGAAGTTTCGAAATTTTCTCAAAATTGTATCGAACAAAACCGTTTTTTACATATGAATTGTGACAATTCCTGAAAATGTGAAATTCATCCAGTTTAATATAGCCTGGCACTATAATTTGAGCATCTGACATGCGTTCATTGCTAAGACATCTATATGTTCTTAAAAGTAAATTAGATCGCTTAATAAGACTGTATTGAAGACCAGTTATTGGAAGTGATCCCTGATTCGGGAAAATTAAGGTAATCCTTGGCATTCTAAAATTTAATTACCTGCGGTGTACTTGTTATTAAATTGTAAATACAAGTCTAACAAAAATTACTGGCTATGTTTATTCAACATAAAGTGTCATCTTTTACATTTCCTCAAATTTCGCAAAAATAAAATCAATTCATAAAAAGTGTTTTACAGTAGTGATACTTTCACAGTTTATATTTGAATGTGTTACGCCTTATCAACAATTAATTATTCCAGGGAGATGTTTCCCCAAAATGTCAAAACGGTTATCATAACATAACATAACATAAACTAGTTCACGATTATCCCAAGTAAGTTGAATAGCTAGAACAGAAATGTATGCCTGTATAAAGCTGGTCACATCACAACAGTTTAACAATGGAACAACATCAACAAACTGGATTAATACTGAAATGAATAAATTCAATACAGATAATATTAAATCAATTCTAAGAAAAACAATGCAAAACAAAACAACCAGAAATCATTTTATCAGGAGCTTTAAAAGTAAGTTTCAGATTTTCTTGGAATTCAAACCAAAATAAAAAGTTCAGTACTGGTCAACATGTTATTTTGAGGGTAAGTAAAACATTCTTTTGAATTTACTGAAAACATACTTATTTTATCAGTCAAACGTGAATTTGAATCATTAACAGCTCGGTCATGTTGTAGATCTACTAATAACTAAATCTAAGTCAAAATTCACCGACAAGAAAAACAGAAAATATACTTCATACTCCAGAATCAAAATATTGGGTTATTTTCTTAACAAAAGTTGAATACATGATCCCTCCTAAAACAAACAGATATATAATTTGAACTAAAGAAATGCTTTACTAAACATGTTCAACAAATCTTTCCAACAATCATATAAGCTTATTTTATATTATTTACCTTAATTTTGTTTAAAATCAAAATGATCATCAAGAATATCAACCTTTGAAATATTTAAAAAAAGAAATTCTCAATTTCTTTAAGTCACTTATTTGAAGAACTTGGTCAAATCATTTCATTATGCTTTTCATTCTTAATAATAAACCAACCAAATATCTGACGGTTATTTTAACATCTTTTCTGTGCATGAAAATGAAGTGTTTTACCGTAGTCTTGCTGTATCCTCAATATGTTTATACCTGCTGCCAAGTAAAGATATCCAAATGTTTACGCAGATTGAGAGTATTAATCTCAAAGTTGCAGCCTTCCATACAACTTCCTTCCGATAAACATTTTGTATTAAGAAACTGACGAATACTTATCTAAATAACAACTGACCAAATTGCAAAATGTTTAATTTAAATATAACTCAATCCAATATGTTTGCCATCCACTGATTATTTTCTAAATAATTTTCAAATGTTTTCATGCTTATGCAATAAAATATTGAGACAATACAAAGGCCACAGAAATGTGGGCCTTGACCAGGGCGGAACCTAGTCAATTTATCCCACCACTGCCACCAATTGTGGCGAAGTTGAGTCTCTCTATCTTTTACAAAACATGAAAACAAATATAGTTTAAAATATTAATTTATTCAAGAAAAGTTAAAATCCAAAAATATAATTTCAATCGGCTACTTACAGTTTTTGGTTTGTACCGAGTTCATGCAACGAGGTTCTGAGGATTTCAGGCAAAATTGCCCCTTTTATACCCAATTTTTTTTATGTGGGCCCCGCCAAAATAAGGGGTCTTATCCAATGAAATCCCCTAAAAACCCATTTATAAGAATTGGCCGGAAAGAAGTGTGAAAAATTATATGAAGATTAATTATCAACATGCCAAATTTCTGCCCACATTATTTTCTAAAAAGTTGAAAAGTTCCCATTTATTTCAGTTTTTGTTGAAACTTTTGAGACAGGTATGATTAATAACTGAATCCATGAACCTCGGTCCAGACAATTCTCATGAACTTTTTACCTTACTCATTTAAACCATTAAGTCATTATCTCTTCAAAATACATGTTTTATAATATTTTAAACAATAAAAGTTAGCAAATTCCTTATACAATTACATTACAATGTTTTTCATATATCAAAATGTAAATTTCACCTACAAAATACTGGTTTTTGGTCAATTTGTACATCATCACCCATCAATTTATCATATCCTATTGTTTTATCAAAATGACATCATATACCAATATGTTTATGAATCTATGGAAGCTAGACAAAACATCATTAATTGGATATGATAGCTTCTTGGCTTCATTCAAAGTTACACTGTCACTCAATAGACTAGACCTCCCCCTTTCTTGGAACCACTTCTTGCCATTGGCTATGTGATTTACCTGTCAAATCTACCACCAGTCCTTACTATAAAACATGTTCAATTGAATGCAAGATATCTTTATCTAAGTTTAACTTTGGCACTCTGCAACATCCATAGAAGTTTAAGATTGTGTCATTGAGTTCAAGGTAAAATTGATAAATTACTAAATTAATAACATTTTCCATCTTAGAAGCCTAAATTAATTTTACAAAAATGAAATGGAAGTGAACAATTTATTCTTGTTTTACATTATGATGTCTTATTCGAAAGTTGTTTATATTCACATGTCAATAAATGATGTATCTTCAATGTCTACAGTAAACAAAGCTTCCAGTTCCCAAAACATTCTGCCGTTATGATGATATCAGCATAACAGAAGTATTTATCCTAAGATTTCTGTATTTGTAAGCAATTTGTAGAGTACTCAAGATTATTATGACCTAAGTTTCAAACATCTATGAACTAAAAATCAAACTTTGTCACATTATCTCTAACTGTTATATAGCATAAGTATATTATAGATCGTCACACATTTATAAAAGGGTGATTTTTATTTTGACAAATCAATTCCACATTTATGGGTGAAGTTTCAGGATCTTCCATTTGTGTATAATAAGGAAAAATTGGCATCTAAATTTCCCCATAACGTAATAGCACACAGCTTGGCATATAAAATATCCTACAAATGAAACAAAGCAAGACAAACCGGTTTCTAATACAAGGATTTATATTGGCTGTTGTACATATATTCTTTGAACGCAATCACTCTTTGGATAACGTTTTCAAAATCATTATAAACGGATTACTTTATCTCAAAGACAATTTCAATAAACCGGATTTTACAGAACTCCCCTTATTTCTTAAAAATGGACTGATCCAGTTGATTCGCCTGGAGCCGCCATATTGTTTTTATACGGGATGCTAATCGGAACCCTTTAAGTTTTCGCCTCACTCTATCAAGAGGTGACATGGTATACTGAAATGGTCTATAAAGTTATTTGAAATCTCTAATAGAAAAGGTTAATAATGAACTTGATCTTATGGACGATTGGTTCAAAGCAAATAAATTGTCAATAAACTATTCTAAAACAAAATTTATCTTGTTCAATAAACAGAAACGACAAATCTTTAGAGATATTAAAATTGATATGTCCGGGAAACAAATTGAAAGAGTAAAATCTATCAACTTTTTAGGAGTCATTGTTGATGAACATATTACCTGGAAAGAACATATTAAACATATAGAAGCAAAAATATCCAGAACAATTGGTCTCTTATATAAGATTCGCCACCTATTGAATAAAACAAGTCTTTTGGCAATCTATAATTCCCTGATATACTCACATATAAATTACTGTAATTTAATCTGGGGTGGCCATAGCAATGCTCATACAAATGAGCTGCATTCCCTACTTCTATTTCAAAAGAGATTCCTTCGAATATTAGACAACCAGCCAAGAATGGCACATTCAGCACCTCTCTTTAAGAAGTACAACATTTTACCT